GCTGATGAGTACGTTGACATTGGCGCCCTCAACGGCATCTTTGTGCTAGGGAGGAGCATGGGCTTCATTGGTAAGTCTGCTGCTGGCGTGAGGGTTTTGTGTCGGCTACACTACTTCCCCTGTGCGAACGTTTACACAGATGTCACATCATCACCAAGCACGCTTTTTGTTTTGGTTTTTTTTTTCCTCTCTTGGGTTTCTGAGACAGAGTTTCACTGTGTAGCCCTGGCTGTCCTGGAACTCACTCTGTACCAGGCTGGCCTTGAACTCAGAGATCCTCCAGCCTCTAACTTTTTTTTAATCTGTGTTCTTTTTATTACAGGGAATAGTTTCCCTTACTAGTTAAGAAAAGCAAAATTAAGTCTATATGTTCTACTGATGAAACGAATCTGGAATTCCTGCCCTGTTTTGGTGTGGGTGTGAGTGTGCATGTGTGTGTGCATGTGTGAATGTATGTATGTGCGTGCACGCAAGCACACGTGTACACATGTATTTTGTTTTATGGTTTTGTTTTCTACCTCACTGTAACCTTTCGTGCCCTGTGCTGAGGGTTAAACCCTAGAAGGGCTTCATACCTGCTATACAAGGACCCTGCCACAGAGCTACATTACCGGCCCAGTGTCCCCATTTGTGTGTCAGAAAGATTTCCCTTCCCATCGTCTACCTGCTATTATGCTTATGAAACTAACAAAAGATCCATTGGTTCCATTTTAGGGCACTATCTTGATCAGAAAAGGCTGAAGCAGGGCCTGTATCGTCACCCATGGGATGATATTTCCTATGTTCTTCCGGAGCACATGAGCATGTAACGGAGTCAGGAACCCTGCTGTAGTAAAAGGAAGACAAGAGCTCCCTCCTGAGTAAGAACGGACAGCAGCTGAAGCAGAGTCCATTATAGGCTGGGCCTGGATCAGAAATAGCCATTGATATACAGGCATGAAAGACCAACACCTGCAGGCTAGTATCCATGCAGTCCACACAAAGAAGCTTAGTATTTTTTATATATATATATATAAGCATAGAAATTGAGAACCAAGCCAATACTTGTGTCATTTGCTCTGCTACCTGCTGTATCTATTCTATGGAAGACTAAGTACTCTCAGAATAGTGTTCTTCTAGGGCCTTATAATGTTGCTTTCTTTTTTTAATTAGTTAAAAATTTATTTTTCCTTTGGAGGAAGGGAATGCAACTTTTAAGACTTCAAGATACTGTCTGTCTGTAGGACCCACTAACATCTGGTGTCCCACTTCCCGTTCATCTTCACACAACATGAAGAACACTGTATTAATCTGATTTTTAAGAATCTTTTTTTTCTGTGTTGTGTGTTAAGGGTTCATTTAGTATCCCACTGATATGTTCTGTGTTACGGATCAGTGTCTTCTTATGTCGGGGAGGGGTGGGACCATTGCATCCTTAGCCATTGTCACACCTATGTGGCGTAGTAACTTAAATGTAAAGTTGTAACATACTAGTGTTTAAAATGGAAACACAAGCAAGAAGCTGTGAAATGTCTCGTGTCTCACGTTCTGTGTTTATGCAGCTGATCTGTCTGTTACTGAAGTGTGGGTCCAAAGCCTCATACAGCTGTTTTACAACTGTAACCCACAAAGATTCGGGCAGCTGCCACCTCAGTCTCCTCTCTGTATTATCATGTTTGGTTTAAATAAACTATACAGTAACAGTGACGTGGTACTGTTCTGTGTCATCTGCTTTTGAGACCGAGCTGTCCTGGCACTATAGTCCAAGCTGGCGTCTGCTGGGATTAAAGGCGTGTACCACTACCCCGGCTCTTAGTTTTAACATTTTAAAATCCACTTCCATCTCTCAGAAAGAAAAAGATAATGAAAATACCAGTATATATCCAGTCATGACTCCACCCCCAAAGGCTATAAAAACCTTAACGTTCAGGCTTGGTGGCACCTTTAATTCCATCACTTGGGATCAGAGTTCAAGGTCAGCCTGATCTCTCTGGCACCTACTAGGTTTTCAGACAGCCAGGGCTGCAAACCTGATTTGTTGGTGGTGTTTGTTTGTTTGTTTGTTTGTTTTCAAAATGGGGCTTCTCTGTCTAGCCCTGGCTATCCTGGAACTTGCTCTGTAGACCAGACTGGCCCTGATCTCACAGAGACCCCCTCCCCCGGCTTTCCTCCCAAATGCTGGGATTAAAGGCATGTGCCACCACTACCTGGCTGTGAAATCTGTCTTTTAAAAAAAAAGAAGAAAAAGTGGGAGGTAGAGAGATGGCCTAGGAGTTGAGAGCACTGGCTACTCTTCCAGGGGACCCAGGTTCAATTCCCAGCACCCACATGGCAGCTCACAGCTGTCTGTAACTCCTGTTCCAGGAGATCTGATGCCCTCACACAGGCATGCAGTCAGGAAAAACACCGATGTGCATAAAATAAAAATAAATATTTTAAAAAAAGAAAGAAAAAGCAGCTGGGCAATGGTGGTGGCGCACACCTTTGATCCTAGTACTTGGAAGGCAGAGGCAGGCAGATCCCTGTGACTTCGAGGCCAGCTTGGTCTACAGAGCGAGTTCCAGGACAGGCTCCAAAGCTACAGAGAAACCCTGTCTCAAAAAACAAAACGAAGAAGAAAGAGTGATCTGGAGAGATGACTTGGTGGTTAAGAGCACTTGCTGCTCGTCCCGAGTTCAATTCCCAGAACCATTAGATTGCTCACAGCCATCTGTAACCCTCCAGCTCCAGGGAATCCTACACTGATCGCCTCTGAGGGCACCTTCACTCATTTGCATATACCTATTTGTAGAGGCATGTATGCTTAATTAAAAGTAATTTTTGAAAAATCTTCAAAAATGAAAGAAAAAGTTTTTAAAAAACAGGAGCTTTTGAAAAATCCACTTTTAGCCTGCACTTCCCCTTCTCAATTAGTGTTAACTCTCGGCATTACTTAAGCCAAAAGCTGGAGTCGCCCTTCTGCTCTCCTGGGCTCCAAGTTCTGTTGATTTACCCTTGAACTCTCCTCTGATCTATCTGTACCTGCTAACCGGTGCCCTTATTTCCTCTTTTGTCCTGGTACAATCCATCCTCCTTACAGACACCAGTGACATTTAAAACTCAAATTGAGGGCTGGTGAGATGGCTCAGCAGGTGAAGACATCAGCTGCCAAGCCTGCCCGCATGAATATGATGTCAGGAACCACGTGGAAGGAAAGGATTGACTCCTGAATGTTCTCCAACCACAGGTGTGCCAGGGCCTGTGCACAACTATACTACCTACCTAGACTAAATAAATGTAAAAAGAAAACCGAATTAGGACACTTCACTTCCTTGCTTGAAGTCCCAAAGTGGCTTTTGTTCATTTTTCTATGGAACCCTGGCTGTCCAGGAACTCACTCTGTAGACCAGGCTGGCCCGTTCCTCACTTTAGTATATATGAAATGGTGGCTATGCAGCAAACATTTGATTCAGTGCCACCTCGTTTGACCCTGTGTTCTTCTAAAGGAGGCAATGCCCATAACTCCTCACCTTCATGTATTGAGCTGAAATGCAGGGTTTTGTTTTGTTTTTTGTTTGTTTGTTTTTGAGACAATCTAGCCCAGGCTGACCTACTAGAAATGGTCCTTCCTTAGGGTCCCAAGTGCTAGGATTACAGGTGTGAGCCACCATACCCCTCTAAGATGTAACTAAGTGTGGTGACATTTTGTGATCTAACAAAGCCTGCCTGAAGATCAGAATGCAGAGCTAAATCACCAGTTAGCCGTAGAGGCCAGGCAGTGGTGGCACACACCTTTAATCCCAGCACTGGGAGGCAGAGAGGCAGAGGGATTTCTGTGAGTTAAAGGCCACCCTGGGCTACACTAGACTGCTCTGATCCAGTCTCAAAGAGAAATAGTAGCTCATACCTTTAATCCCAGTACTTGGGAGTCACACACCTTTAATCCAAGCACTCGGAGGCAGAGGCAGGTGGATCTCTGTGAGTTCAAGGCCAGCCTGGTCTACAGAGTGGGTTCCAGGACAGCCAAGGCTATACTGAGAAACCCTGTCTCAAAAAAACCACAAAAAAATTTAAAAAAAAAAAAGAGGACCAAGTTGACTTCCAGCACATCAAGTGAATCTTTCACTCCTGTAACTTGAGCTCCGCTGTCCTCTGTGGGCTCCAGGGCACACATGTGCATATACACAGACACTTAGATAAAATAAAATTAAGAGGCTAGAGAGATGGCTCAGAGGTTAAGAGCACTGGTTGCTCTTCCAGAGGTCCTGAGTTCAATTCCCAGCAACCATATGGTGGCTCACAACCATCTGTAATTTGATCAGGTTCCCTCTTCTGGCAAGCAGACAGAATACTGTATACATAATAAATAAATTAAAAAACAAAAAATGCTGGGCAGTGATGGCGCACACCTTTAATCCCAGCACTCACAAGACAGAGACAGGTGGATCTCTGTGAGTTCGAGGCCAACCTGGTATAGAGCGCTAGTTCCAGGAGAGGCTCCAAAGCTACAGAGAAACCCTGTTTCGAAAAACATAAAATAAAATAAAATTAGAAAATACTTAATTTTTTTTTCAAGGCAGGGTTTCACTGTGTAAAAGCTTTAGCTGTCCTGGAACGCACTCTGTAGACCAGGCTGGCCTCGAAACTCACAGAGATTCGCCTGCTTCGGCCTCCTCAGTACTAGGATTAAAGGCGTGCGCCACCACTGCCCGGCCAAAGCCATGTTTTAAAATAAAAAAATTGGGCGTGGTAGTTAACACGCCTTTAATCCCAGCAGGGGTAGGTGGATCTCTGTGAGCTCCGGGCCATCATGATCTACAGAGCGAGTTCAAAATTAAACAAACAAACTAAATTTCTGTGTGTACGTGTGGTGGTGAGGATAGCCTCCAAAGCAATTTAAAGTAGAAAATTCAACAAAACACGCACAAACGTCCCCCCCCCCGCCCCCAGCCTGTCTCACTAGAAGGCTCGAGTTTGGCGGAAGTGCGCAGGCGCAGCTCCGCTCCGCGCGCACTATTTAATCCCAGAATTCCTCTGTGTCGCACCAGTGTTGCCGCACCGTTCGGAAGCTGAGGGGGCCGGTGCGGCGGCGTCAAGATGGCGGCGGCGGTGGCGGCTGCGGCGGCTGCGGCGGCCGCGGCTGCATCTCTCCAGGTACTGGAGATGGAGAGCATGGAGACTGCCGCCGCCGGTTCGGCGGGCCTGGCTGCCGAGGTCCGAGGCAGTAGCACGGTGGACTTCGGGCCCGGGATCTCTGCCATGGAGGCGAGCGGGGGCGATCCAGGCCCAGAGGCCGAGGACTTCGAGTGCAGCACTCACTGCTCGGAGCTGTCCTGGCGGCAGAATGAGCAGCGGCGGCAGGGCCTGTTCTGCGACATCACCCTGTGCTTCGGTGGGGCCGGAGGTCGCGAGTTCCGCGCCCACCGCTCGGTGCTGGCCGCCGCCACCGAGTACTTCACGCCCTTACTCTCGGGCCAGTTTTCCGAGTCGCGCTCCGGCCGGGTGGAGATGCGCAAGTGGAGCTCGGAGCCGGGACCCGAACCTGACACGGTAGAAGCCGTTATCGAGTACATGTACACCGGGCGCATCCGAGTGAGCACTGGCAGCGTGCACGAGGTGCTGGAGCTGGCCGACAGGTAGACGGATGGGGGGGGCGAGCGGGGGTTGGGGAGGGATCGTGTCTGCGGGGACGGGCGGGACAGCCACCGCGCCCGGCACAGAGGATGTCTTTGAGAGTCTAGCTGGTGCGCCTTGCACCTTAGAGCGCAGGTTCCAGGTGTAGGGACAAAGACGGTGAAAAGCTGTGTGTAGAGTGTCACTCCAGTGATGACGACATTTAAAAAAAAAAACACTAGAAGGCTAGCTGCGGGATGGAGGAGCTGACATTTAAGCCGACCTCGGAATGGCAAGAGAAATTGACAGTGCAAAGGCGGATGGATGCGCCTTGCAGGCTCCCGAAGGCCCTCGGTCGAGATCCAGCTTGTGAGTCTGGATCTGCCGGTGACGGGGAGGATGGTGTGTGAGATGCATTGGGGAAAGTTTTGCATTTTACTGGGCGTGATGGATGAGAAAGTGGGTAGAGAGATGATCTGACTGAAATATTTCCAAAGGTTTTCTTAGCTATTGTGGAAAATGGATTGTGGGGAACCCGAAAAAGATGGCACCGAGGTCGGTTTGGAGGCAGGGATGGTAGTACTGTTACAAATCCTTTAACACGCACCTCTTGAGCCGAGGTATGCACCAGACACTGATTTTCATGTGATCAAAACACATGAAAATAAATCCCTTTCCTTACGGAACTCCTGTCTTTTAACAATGAATGTATAGCCTGTTGAATGGCTGTCACAGCTGTGATACAGCGGAATGTAATGTGGAGCTGTGCGGTATAGGCCCTGGTGGAGGGTGATGGAGAGGGACGGTCTTCGGTTGTTTTTGTTTTAGAAACAGGGTCTCCCTATGTAGCTCTGGCTGTCCTGGAACTCACTATGTAGACCAGGATGACTTTGAACTCAGAAATCCACCTGCCTTTGCCTCTGGGCTGGGATTAAAGGAGTGCACTACTATGGCCAGCTGGGAGGAGCTATTTTTAAATTGGGTGCATAGAGGAAGTTCAAAAGACATAATAAAGGGATGTCCGTGGCAAGGTAGTGTGCTTCAGCTAGAGATTGCCAGTCTAAAACCCACGTAGAGATAGAGAACAGCAGGGTCATGTAGCTGGAAGGAGGGAGGGGGGGAGGCAGTTAAAAGGAACAAAAGCATCATAGTGGTGAGGATGGAGCCCTTAGGGTAGTGGTTCTTGACCTTCCTAGCTGTGACCCTTTAATACAATTATTTCTCGTGTTGTGGTGACCCACTAAGCATGAAGTTAGTTGCTATTTCACTATTGTAATTTTGCTAGTGTTATGAAACATAACATAAATATCTAATACTCAGGTTCTCTGATAGGCGACCCCTATGAAAGGGTCATTTGACCCCAGGGGGTCACAACCCACAAGATAGAGAACCATAGCCTTATGGGCCGCCTGTGAAAGGAGCTGAACTTTTGTTTTTTTGAGACAGGGTTTCTCTGTGTAGTTTTGGAGTCTGTCCTGGCACCAACTCTGTAGACCAGGCTGGCCTTGAATTCAGAGATCTACCTGTCTCTGCCTCCCAAGTGCTAGGATTAAAGGTGTGTACCACCATTGCCCAGCTACACAGGGTTTCTTTGTGTAGCCTTGGCTGTCCTAGAACTAGCTCTCTAGATCAGGCTGGCCTCAAAGTCATAGCACTCTGCCTGCCTCTGCCACCCAAGTGCTGGGACTAAAGGTGTGCGCCACCACTGCCCGGCTAGAGCTGAACTTTTTAAAATTAGAAGTTGGTGAGAATGATACTGTTTTATTTGGTAAATTCTGTATTGGGGAAAAAAAGGATACAGTGGTGGGAGGATGCAGACTAGTCTAAGTCACCGCAATAGTGGTAGAGGCTTGGATTGAGAAGGAAGGTGATGAGAAGAGGTGACTGACACCTGTGTGTGTATGCTTTGAGGTTTAGTTTATGTATATGGGTATTTTGCCTGCATTTATATGTGCACAGTGTTAGTGCTTGGTGCCTAAGAAAGAGAGCATGCCATGCTGGCAATTGAACTTAAAGAGCAGCCAGTGCTTTTAACTGCTGAGCCATCTCTGCAGGACATCTGTGTTTTGAAGTAGAGATGAACTGCCAGTGGACTTGATTTGGGAGTAAGGAAAAACATTTTGACCCTAGCAATTGGAAAGATCTGATTATTACAGTCTGAGGAAATGCTAGGAATTTAATCCTAACACTCTTGGAAAGCAGAGACAAGCAGATCTCTGAGTTTTAGACCAGCTTTCGTTTGGTCTGTATATTTAGGCCAGCCAGGGATAATGAGATCTACCCCACCTCCTCACACCTCAAAAAGGATGTGGGAAAATAGGGGTTGTGGGGATGGCACAGCCATGGATAAAATGCCTGTACTGCAGCATGAGGACTTGACTTCGGTTCTTTAAGTTGGACATGGTAGTGCATTCCTGTAACCCCAGCCTTGAGGGAGAGGGCAGAGACAGGCTGATTTCTGAGGCTCATTGGCCAGCCAGACTGGCCCAGTGGATGGGGCTCAGTGAGAGACCTTCTCTGAAAAAAATAAAGGTCGAGTGGCTGAAGAGATAGCCCAGTGGCTAAGAGCACTTGTTACCATTGCAGAAGACCTAGCTTGGATCAGTTCCCAATGCCCACATGTTGGCTCACAACCATCTGTAACTCACGTCCCAGTGGATCTGATATCTTCTGGCCATCAAGGACATCAGGCACACATGGTGCACAGATAAACATGTAGGCAAAACACTTGTACACATAAATCTTTTTAAAAAGCTTAGAATAAGATGGAGATCAATCAAGGAAAGACATCTGATATCAAAGCCTTGTGCCTCTCTCTACATTCATACTCAACCACACAAAAGATATGGAAAAATGAACAGATTCGAGATGGTCAGTGTGGACTTGGTCACAATGTCTGGATAAGCTGTTAAATTGAGGAATATTGAATCTCCAGTGAAGTTATAAAAGAAATCACAAGTAGAAACAATGTCACAAATAGGGATATTTCCAGGGACTAGAGAGATTGCTCAGCCATTAAGAGCAATGACTGCTTTTCCAGAGGACCTGTGTTCTTTTCCAGAACCCATATGGTGGTTCACAGCCATCTGTAATTCTAGTTTAAGGGTCCAACTCCCTCTTCTGATATTGGCAGTAGGCTTATATGTACATTCAGGCACTTGGAAAGCAGAGGCAGGCGATTTCTGTACAGCCAGGACTGTTACACAGAGAAACCCTGTCTCAAAAAACAAAAGTATTAAAAAGGATTGGGTTTAAGGTAGAGTGCCTACTTAGTTGACTCTAAAATAGGAAATGGTGGAATATGTTTGTGCTGAAGAAAATGATTCTGTGGAAGAAGAGAAACTGATAGTGTAAGAGCAGGGCAGTGGGCACGGATAGGTTTTGAAATCAAGGAAGGCCATAATCCTCCATACTAAAGTTGGAGATCAAAATTGCAGTCCTGTAATTCCAGCACTTGCGGGGGAGCCTGAGGCAGGAGATCTAGGCGAATCTGAACTATTTAGTGAGACCCTTTCCAGAAAATAGTAAGGATTGTCTTAAAGTACAAGACTGGGTCCTCAGGATGGGGTAGGATGTGTACAGGCCCTGAGAAGGAAGTTTGTTAAATGAAACCTAAAAGAAGAGCTATTATCAAGCTTGCTTGGTCTGTCTGTGATTTAAAACTCTAGCTTGCTGACATGGTGGTGCATGCCTTCATTCTTTTCACTAGGGAAGCAGAAACAAGCTGCCTCTGTGTTCAAGGCCAGCCAGGGCTACATAGAGAGACCTTGTCTCAAAAATGCAAAAAAACAATCTAACTTTTCTCCATCTTTCACACGTGCCTGTAATGATTGAGCTTAATGCTCTGAGGTAGGATCGTCTTCTCTGTGCCCACATATACTGTCTGTGATCCAGCCCTGCATGGCACTTGGATTAGAAATAATAGAATGAGCAGAGTCTCTAGGCTCAGTACTTTAATCCCAGCTCCTACAGAGGCTGAGGCAGAAGAATCACTTGATTAGATAGATCCTGTCTCAAAAAAAGAAGGTTGGAGGGAGGGGTTATATAGTAGAGCACCTGCCTAGCATATTTTAGGCAATGAGTTGAATCCCCAGTCCTAAAATAAATATAACAGACATGTGCAGCACATTGTTCCTTACATAGCAATGCCAAACATGTAATAGCTATTGTTTTAATAGAGCAATGCTTCCCAAAACCTGTCTTAAGGGGATATACTTCAGAATTACCTGCTAAACATAGGTGCTTGAGGCAGCCTGGGAATCAGGTAGTTCTGGCACCCAGATTGTCTGGGGTTCTCTAGAGTCTAGCTACTTTACTCGCCACTCTACCTTGTTTTATCTAAGGTGGAAATGTTTCTTCAAGGTTAAGAGAGCTTGTCATAATTCGTCTGTATTTTGTGATTAAGTAATTATTAAGCACAGTAGCCATAATAAACCATTATGGAAATGGGCCTGTCTTGATGACATCATTCTTAGATTGTTTAAGGTTCTTTTCAGTTGAAGGGTCTTTTTCTTCTATAACCTTGGACTCAGATTGACCGCACCACTTGGTGTGATACACACATTATTAGAAATGAGTTAATCAAGATGTGAGAATTAGCCAATAAGAGGCTGGAGCTAATGGGCCAGGCAGTGTTTAAATGAATACAATTTTGTATGTTTGTTATTTCGGGTGTGAAGCTAGCCGAGTGGGAGCCAGGCAGGACGAAAAGCGGGCCTGCTTGCCTAATCACGACATTTTTCTTTTTCTTTTTTTTTTTAAGCTACACATGATTTTTTTTGTTGTGATACTGTTTTATTTCCAGGCTTCAGCCTTGGGTAAAGCTCCTTAGTCTACTTCCTGTTATTGCCCAAAGAGATGAAAACCTGACTCAGCCAAGGCTGAGTTCTTTGAGATACCTGACCAACCTGAGCCTTCAGGAAGTTATAGTTCCTGCCTGCCTCTAGTTTAGACTGGATTATTATACTGCCTTTTGCCAAAACCGTTTCTCAATAAAAAAGAACCCAAAGCTGGGAGTGATAGTGCATGTCTATGATCCTGGCACATAGATGATAGGAGCAGAAGGGTCATCCTTCGCTATATGGTGTGTTGGAGACCAGCCTGGGCAACTTGAGATGCTGTCCCAAAAAGAACAAAGCAAAACCAAAATAAATTAAGAGGTCCAGTGACTACAAAAGGATTAGAAAAGATGTCAAAAATGCATTTGAATTGGCATTTGTCCTTGTTGTATGTGTATATTTGTGTGACAATATGTGTATATTGGTGCAGTGCCCAAGAAGGCCAGAAAAGGGCATTGGACCCCTTGTAACTGGGGTTAGGCAATTGTGAGCTACTCAGTATGGGTGCTGGGAACCAAACTCAAGTCTTCAGGTGCCGTCTTCTGGCTTCCAAGGGTACCAGTTATGTATGTCATACATAGACATACATGCAAGCAAAATACCCATACATAGAAAATATATGCCACTATGCCTGGATTCTATTTTTAATCCCAGCACTCAGGAGGCAGAAGGAAGATCCCCATGTTTCAGACAGACAGAGTTATATGATGAGACTCTGTCAAAAAAAAAAAAAAAAAAAAAAGGCCAGGCAGTGGTGGCACACACTTTTAATCCCAGCACTTGGGAGTCAGACAGGAGGATCTCTGTAAGTCTGAGGCCAGCCTGGTCTACAGGTGAGTTCTAGAACAGCCAGAGCTCAACACAGAGAAACCTAATTTCAAAAAACAAAGCAAACCAAAGAAATAATAAATAAATGAATTAATTTAAAAAAGTTTTCCAGGTAGGCCTTGACCTTGTGATTCTCCTATCTGTCTCCTGAGTTTATGATTCATGAATACAGGCATAAGCATGTAATCTCACTTTTTACAAATGTATTATTGTGTGTCTGTGTGGGTGCCAGAGTGCACACCTGGAAGATAATAAAGAGGACAACTTTGACTTTGCATGGGTTCTAGGGATTGAACTTGGGTCTCTAAGCTTGCTCTGGCAAGTGCTTTTACCCTCTGAGCCATCTGCATAGACCATAAGACCTATCTCAACACCTTCCTCCTGAAAAACTTGCTCATTTTTTTTTCTTTCCAGATACTGTGCTTATGAGACTAATCCTACCACTTCAATGTGTATAATTCAAGTACACCTACATTGCAACCAAATGGAATAAGTACATTCCAAAATTAATCTTTTTTTTCTTTTTCTTGATTCTAGATTCTTATTGATTCGTTTAAAAGAATTTTGTGGAGAATTTCTCAAGAAAAAACTTCATCTCTCAAATTGTGTGGCCATTCATAGTTTAGCCCACATGTACACCCTAAGTCAGCTTGCTATGAAAGCTGCAGATATGATCCGGAGAAATTTCTATAAAGTCATTCAAGATGAAGAATTTTATACTTTACCTTTCCATCTCATTCGAGACTGGCTTTCAGATTTGGAAATTACCGTGGATTCTGAAGAAGTTCTTTTTGAAACAGTTTTGAAGTGGGTTCAGAGAAATGCTGAAGAGAGAGAGAGATACTTTGAAGAACTTTTTAAATTGCTCAGGTTGTCCCAGATGAAACCCACCTACCTTACACGGCATGTCAAACCAGAGCGTCTGGTGGCCAATAATGAAGTTTGTGTCAAGCTGGTGGCTGATGCTGTGGAGAGGCATGCCCTCAGAGCAGAGAATATACAGTCTGGCACACTCCAGCATCCCGCTTCCCATGTCTCACTCTTACCTCGCTACGGACAAAACATGGACGTAATCATGGTTATTGGAGGTGTGTCAGAAGGGGGAGACTACTTAAGTGAATGTGTGGGATATTTTGTTGATGAGGACAGATGGGTAAATCTTCCCCACATTCATAATCACCTTGATGGACATGCTGTTGCAGTAACAGAATCTTATGTGTATGTTGCTGGCTCGATGGAACCAGGCTTTGCTAAGACTGTGGAAAGGTACAACCCAAACTTGAATACATGGGAACACGTTTGTAGTCTGATGACAAGAAAGCATTCTTTTGGGCTAACAGAAGTCAAAGGGAAGCTGTATAGCATTGGAGGACATGGCAATTTTAGCCCCGGCTTTAAAGATGTGACTGTTTACAATCCCGAGCTTGATAAATGGCACAACTTAGAATCAGCACCAAAGATTCTTCGAGATGTCAAAGCACTAGCTATTGAAGACCGTTTTGTGTACATTGCTGCCCGCACTCCTGTGGACCGGGACACTGAGGATGGACTGAAGGCTGTAATTACTTGCTATGATACAGAGACTCGACAGTGGAAAGATGTAGAATCTTTACCACTTATTGACAATTACTGTTTTTTCCAGATGTCTGTGGTCAATTCAAACTTTTATCAGACAGCATCTTGCTGTCCCAAGAGTTATTCTTTAGAAAATGAAGAGGCAGTAAGAAAAATTGCCGGACAGGTGTCTGATGAGATCCTTGAAAGCTTGCCTCCAGAAGTCCTGAGCATCGAAGGAGCAGCCATTTGCTATTATAAAGATGATGTCTTCATTATTGGAGGCTGGAAAAACAGCGATGATATTGACAAACAGTATCGGAAAGAAGCCTACCGATACTGTGCTGAGAGAAAGAGGTGGATGCTCCTTCCTCCCATGCCTCAGCCCCGTTGTCGAGCCACCGCTTGTCACGTTAGGATCCCCTACCGATATTTGCATGGCACGCAGAGATACCCGATGCCTCAAAATTTAATGTGGCAGAAGGACCGCATCAGACAGATGCAAGAGATACACCGGCACGCCCTGAACATGCGGAGAGTGCCAAGTTCCCAAATTGAATGCTAAACTTGCCGATGTGTGCAGTTGGAAACTGTTCTCCCCATCCCATGGGGCTGGAGATACCTGGACTGTTACTTGGAAAAGTATGTCGATAACTTATTTTCTACTTGGACTTATTACCCTATAACGGAAGTTTAAAAAAACAAACAGGAAACTCAGTTTAGTGTGGTAATTTTTGTTAACTTACAGTCCTGTCTTTAGTTTGTATGCTGGCAAATAAGATCTTATTAAAGAGAAGTGGGGGAAAGCAAGTCTAGTTACTTGGCCTTTTTTTTTTTTTTTTTTGCCAACACTGTAACTCCTTTTTTTAGGGACCTATATTTGGGGCTTTAAGCACCAGTGTTATTTGCACATTTACTTTGATATTCCTTTACATTTTCTGTAGATTGTTTTCAATTTATACATTAAGTTCTCATCTGCAGGAGGCATGTGCAATAGTGAGACTGGATCTGAAGGTAAAAGCACAATGTTTCAGCAAGATTGATCTCAGAATGTTGGCGCTCACATTTGTTGTGTTTATAAATGCTGTTTTTGTTCCTTGGAAGGGGGACCAGTGAGAAGTTTGATTGGCACATCATCTGGCTTTTGTTTCTGCCACAGCTATTTATAGACTTGAAGCCATCATTCTGAGATGAGAATTGGGGAGGTATTAGTATTTAGCTGATTGACTAGAGAGGAAGTTACACAGGTGAAGTTTGTTTCTCTAAGGAAAGTGTTCAGTGTAGCTGAGAAAGCAAGTGAACAACGTTTTGAAACACTTTGAAGGGTTGTGACTGAGCTGAGGAGGATGCAGCATGCCTGTGACAATCATGCGCGATGCCTTCAGTTCATTTTTTTGCTCCATTGAATATTATATAGGCTTTTTATCAGTTCTTTCCACAAGAAAAACTTTCAAAATGGCAATGAAAGTAAGAGTTTAGAAAATACTCCTAAGAGAAGCCATGTTATTTCTGGCTCTTGATTGTCATATTGTACTGGATTACCCTAGACTTTTATTGCAATTTAGAGCCTAGAATACCAAATCTGAGTACATAGTTTTGGCTTTTAAAAATTTAAGGCTTTCATATAACACATTTAAAAGGAAAATTTCAAAAGGTTAAATAATCAGTTCAATGACTGTCATCTTTCAGAAAAGGTTTTTAATCTATACATATTTTTGTTATTCTCCCTAAAGTAGTCTTAGTTTTTTGAGACAGGGTCTCTCTATTTAGCCGTGGCTGGCCTGGAGCTCACTAGGGTAGACTAGGCTTTGACCATACATAGATCCTGAGGGGAAAACCTCCAATAATAAACTACAATGATACTGTACGTTCACATTCCTCTAACTGCTTGCATTTATTAACATTTTCTTTAGCTGTTATTTTAGAGCTCTCATACTCAAGATCTATAATTCTCAGTTGCTTTAGGTATATCCTTGAGTCCGTTCTCTTAGTGTCTGCATATTCTTTGTTTGCTGATTTTATCACCTATTTCTGTGTATGGTATCGAGGGTTAGCTCTTTCATTTACAGTGTCTTTTGAGCCTTGTATTGGTATCATTGCTTTTGTACTATTTTTGATAGTACATCCCTGCTCAGTACTTAAATTTTTTTGTTCATCTGTAGACAGTTAGAATGTATAGTTTCCCATTTTTAAGGCTCTAGATCTAATTTGTACTTAATTTCTGAATTCCCTTGTGCAAGACTTTAGTCTTGGAGTGCTCAGCCTTAGGCTTTTGTGAGTAATCCTGTTCTTGGTGGAGCATTATACAACTTCTCTTTGTAAATCCTACCATCAGAGAAACATTTCTCTTTTGGATTTTTGTTTTAATGCACATCTCAAATTGCAGAGATTTCCCCAGATCTTGCTGATTTTATTTTACCTTTGATTTTTTTTTTTTTTTTTTTTTTTTTTTGACAGTCTTTCTATGTAGTGTTGGCTGACCTGGAAGTCTCTTTGTAGATCAGGCTGGCCTGAACTCATGGAGATCTACCATCCTCTGCCTGGGGTTAAAGGCCCTGTCCCACCCACTATGCTGGGCTTGATGGCTCTTTAGCACACTAATTTTATTTTCCACTTCAGTTTCTTTTGTAAGTTCATGGTGTTGTCATTAGGGTCTTTCATGGCACTTCTTTCTTTCCTAACCTAGTACTTGTCTGTACATTTTGTTTTCCTTTGTAGTCTTCTTTCACCTGGTCTGTTAATCTAAACTGTGAGCCCCCTTGACTTGCAGCATCAATGATGGAGCTGGACTTCCCAAATCTGTACTCTGTACTCAGATTCTCTGGAAGAGCTATTTTGTCTATAAGCTGCTGGATATTGGTTCCCCATTCTTGTAGATTTGCTGTCTTTAGCATGGTCAGCAGCATCGGTGCCACTGTGCTTCAGCGCCTCTGGCACTTGTGATTATCATGTTTGTCATTCCTTCCAACCTAATTCCTTTCACTCCCATCATTCTAAACACTGTTCTGCTGGATTGGCTCTGAGACTATGAGTTTTTCATATTCAGGAAGAATTTCCATATTGATTTAACATGACAAGTCAATTGTAGTCAGTCCAAAGACATCTTGATTGATTTGTTGATTCATAACTGGTATATAAGCATTCTTTAGTAAAGATTTAGCTGTAATCCTCACTGATAGCCAGGGTAAAGCCACTTTTTCTTCAGTATTCACTTCATGTTCAACGGTTTTGTTTGTTTTGTTTTGTTTTTTGTTTGTTTTTTTAACAAGCTTAGAGAATACAGTTGCATTAAGCGTGCATATTTAAATCAGCACTGCTCTCCAGCAGAATAGAGGCATGTTCTCTTGATATTGTAGGGCCTTCGTCAGACCTGTGCAGTCACCATTTCTGAACAGTCATACACACACGCAATATATAAAACAGTTGGGAGTGCGGATAATTCTCAAAGGTGGCATCACTGGTAGGTCCCATCCTCTAATGGGCTTTGACCTCAAGGAAGTTACATCAAGGAATACCCGTTTTTTGAGTTTCTATATACTGGACTTTTTGCAAGTTAGCATTCAGGCTAAATCTTTCAACACTCACTTAGCATAGATTCCTGTTCAGTGGGCTAGAGAAATCAATCAGCAGGTAACAACATATGCTTTTTTTCCAGTGATTTTTGGTTCCCCGCATCCACTTCAGGTAGCTCACAAGCCTCTATAACTCCACCTTCAGGGGATCTAATACCCATGGCCCTGTGGGGACCCACATTCATTCACATGGACATATCCACATGCAGACACAAACACCTAATTAATTAAAAATTGGTTATGGAAGTGCTCACCTGTGATCTGAGCATTTGGGAAGCAAAGGCAAGATCAGGAGTTCTGAGCCAGTCTAGTTAGTATACATGTGAGACCCTGCCTCAAACTAAACAACAAAAGGGTAACTAATAATAACAGTACATAAATAATATAAAATAAAGACTCTTGATGGTTTGTATTGTAAATCCGATTATTTTTTTCTAAATTTCTTTAAGAATGTCTTTACCTTCTCACATATTCTGGAAAAGTCCAAGAAGAGTGATCTATACTTCCTCGATTGTACTAGAGTTAACTTTATGTGATAAAATATCAGAAGCACAACCAGAAATTTAAGCTATTTGCTTAATGCTCTTGGATTCTGTACTGATAATTTTCTTGAAGTGTCTAAATTGGTGTTCTTGCCCAGGACAAGGGTTAATAGCTATGTTGGAAATGTGCTTTAAAACCATTTAACTTAAACTGAAGTGCGTCTGGGAAACCACAAGTCCTTTCCACATAAAGGATCTGTTATCCTCTCCTTTTCCCTTAACTTTTTCTCAATTTCCATCCTTTGGGTTTCTTTAGGTTGGTGTGTTTTACAGTGCTGGGAACTGTGAACGCAGGGCCTTGCACACGCTAGGGAAACACTCTGCCAACTGGGTTGCTTCCCAGCTGTCTTTGTGGTTACCTTCATAACATAAGCCTTTGGATTCGGAGAAGCATTCCTTAGTTGTAAGAGGTCTGTGCACTGAAGGAAGCTTGCCTTTATCTCCAATTGTACAAGCAAATCATTTAATATTTAATCAAGATGCCAGCTTTCTCTAGAAGAATGTCATATGTTTTTTTGACTTTTTGTCCCAGAATTATATTTTGGGGCTGTCACCACCAAGTTGTTAATAGGGCCATCTTTTGGTCTTTTTGTCTTTTTTTCCTTTATTTTTTGGCAGACAATATAACTCCTAAGGTTTAGGTATAATCTGGTTTTAAAAACTTGATTGAAACCACTGTTTTTTTGACTCAGCAGGCAGCCTAGACCCTGGCTGAATGAAGGGGTAAGTCCTTCCTTGCATGATGGTGTGCAGGTTTTCCTGACTACCAAGTTTCTAATGTTCATATGTGAATTCACGTGTGTGGCTTCACCACCATAACTTGTGTCTCCTAAATACTCTAACTAACTTGTTAGGAAGGAAAGAAACCAGATTTGCTTAAATCTGTTCAAGGCTGACATTCTGAAATTTTAAACTGAACCTAACAGTATTTATAATAATAATCATGCAGGTCTAATCTAGCTCTTTATGAATGAAATTTCTTTTATGAAAAGTTATAAACATAGCTTCTTTAAAAAAACTTAAATGTATTCAAGTGAACCTTTGTTTTGTTGTTTTTATTTTTCTTTGTTGGAAAGAACTCGATTATACCAAAAAAGGTACGACTGTCCATTACTTGGAGTAAGGCTACTTCCACATCATAATGGGCCCTTCCTGTCTACCTTTTAGGTTGAGAATGTCAGTCGTGAGCTTAGGGTTTAAGCGATCATCACTTGCATGATTAGTCTTGTGTATCCTGATAGCTTTGCTTTTCTGTGCCTGTTCAAAGTAACATTTTTGCTAAGAACACTTAAAATTAACTGACATCAGTTTTGTTTTGGTTACCTGGTTGTGTGTAGTATTTCTGGGACCAAAAATTCTTTTAAACTACTGAGCTATTAAAATACAGACGCTCAGTCTGAAGCCAGAGAGCGCCTTTGTGTTCCAGCCCTGTCATAGCTGGTAGGCAGGTTCTTGTGCACACTTTCCTCTCTGACTGTAGCATGTGGTGTGTTTGAAATACTTCCTTTTCTGCTTCCTGATTCAAGTGTCAACACTATAAGTAGACTGGAGCTGTGTTACATATTTTAGCTACTCAGTCTAATAAAGTATACAGGACCTCTTTCTGGTACCTTCTGAACTAAGCTTACGTGCAAAGGGCATGTTAGTCACATTTCATGTCTTTGAACATATATGGTGTTGTGAAACATTCATCTACACTAGAGAAATGCGGTGCTTCAACCCTAGACTATTTGAGCAACATTTCAGTTTGTTGTCAGCCATTAAACATTTTGGCACGACTCGTCACTCCATTTGTTATTTTCTTGAGGAAAATCCATTTTGTTGTTATACTTACAGCACATGTTCTGGTCGTAAAACCAGTTGTTGAGAGTTGTAATACAATGACAGTAACTTTACAAAGTAGTCATTTGCTGCGAGGACTTTGCTTAGCCAAATCACTGCTCACTGTAACCCTTACAGAGCTTTTGGCTTACTCTGTGACCCTTGCTAGGAGTGTGGTACCTTGAAGCACTTGTTAATCAGTTACCCCTCCTGCTTTCTGCACCTGTGAAATATAGTACTTGCTAGGTGTTTGAAGATTTTACCATCCATGGGCTGGGGCTAGTTGTGTTATTTGTAAAATAAGTATTAGTTTAAAAACAGTTTTCTTGGCTTAGTGGCACCCAGGCCCCTATGCAAGATAGAATCTTGGTTATCTCCCTTCAGATTAGAGGAGATGTAGTATTTAGAACACTCTGAGATATTATGTTTGTGTTCCTGAAGCTATCTTGCTCGTGTTCAAGTTTCTAATTGTCTAAATGTAAGTTTTCAATAAACGTATTTCTTTAGAGCTGGTTTTGTACTGTGTGGTTCTTTTCTTAATTATGCACTGTTGAAAATAATCACCTTCTTTCTTAACTCCCTCATTTATCCAACCCTTGCTTCCCTTAAGTTGAAGATTTTCCAGTACTCTTACAAGTTTAAACACTGCATTTATTTAAAAAAAGAATTAATTCTTATTGCTTAGACTTTTTATTAGCTAAATGAAGAGGCTCATACAGGTAGGGTACTTGTCGAAGCGGAATACTTTACTTCATCTCGCAGTGCTAATCCTGTGAAGTTGTCCCGTCTAGCTGCATACTCCCCAACATTGGCTAGCCCTGGCACCACACAGCAGCTCAGAGCACTGCGGTATATGCTCATGTCGTGAGCATCATACCACTCATCGGTCTTTTCATCATAGCACTCAACATTAAAGGTGGTGGTAAAGCCATTAAAGCCACCCACCACAAACAAGAGGTCGTCCACTACCTCGATACCAAAATTGCTACGAGGATTAAACATGGTGGGGATTGTGCGCCACGTATTAGCCACTGGGCTGTAGGCTTCTGCACTCCTCAGTCGATTAGCTCCATCAAAGCCACCCACCTGTGAAGAGCAAAAGAAACAAGGTTGACTGCTATCCATTGCTTCTGTTTACCGAGGAAGCCCTTGTGGGGAGAACAAGTGATGCTACTGCCTCTTTTCAAATGTTCGCTAATGATAGGCTGAACCTCTTTGCTATTAGAAAGTCTAAGGGTGCCATTTAATCATCATACAATGGAAACTCACTGCGTATACATGTTCCCCGTAAGCAATTACACCTATTCCACTCCTCCTGCTCCTCATGGGTGCAATGACTGTCCACTGATTGCTCTCAGTGTTGTACACTTCTGCTGTAAACAGGCATTCGTTTCCATTAAACCCACCACATATGTAGACCTGTGTGGAGAGAATTCAGGATTGTTAAATTATACTGAGGAGTAGACAGAAGATAACAAGGCAAGGACTTTTAAGTTTTTGGAGAGCTGTCTTCTAAGCATGTGAAGAGGACATAGCAGCTGTCCCAGCCCAGAACTTAGCCTGTGCTGGATGCTCTCCAAGTTGCAGGCCAGTTGGTAGACGTGATCAGGTTCAACTTGTGTATTATGTGTATGAGCGTTTTGCCTGCAAGTTTGTCTACACCATGTACAGTGTCAATGAAGGCTGGGAATCCCCTGGGATTAGAGTTAACAGATAGTTGTGAGTTGCCATGTGGGTGCTTATAATTGAACCCAGATCTTCTGGAAGAACAGCCAATGTTCTTAATCTCTGAGTCATCTCTCGAGCCCCTCCATGTGCTTTTTTTTACTTGTTTGTTTGTTTGTTTTTTGAGATAAAGTCTCACTCTTACTATATATCCCTGGTTGTCCTGGAATTCACCATGTAGACCAGATGGGGCTCCCTACCTCAGCCTCCTGAATTTAAAAGCCTGTACCACCACACCATCTTTCCCTGTCCTCTTTTTTCCCCCAATTATATTTATTTGTATGCATGCATGCACCTGTGCCATGTCATACATGTGGAGGTCAGAGGACAACTTGCTGGAGTCAGTTCTTTCCTGTCATCTCTCCTAGATAACAAGGGTGGAAGTCGGGTTATTTAATAGCAAATGCCTTTATCCACTGGACCATCTCAAAGGCCCAGGGGGCACTTTTGGAAAGATTTATTTACTTGTAGATGTTTTGCCCATATGTCTATCTATAAAACATATGTGTGTCATGTCCTCAGAGGCCAGAAGGTGTTAAATTTCCTTGGAACTGGAGTTACAGACTGTTAGCAGCCAGGTGGGTGCTGAAATCTAATTGGAGTCTTCAGGAAGAACAACCGTTGATCTTAACCACTGAGCCATCTCGTTAGACCCCCAGGGTACATTTTTAATGCCAGTCTATACATTATTCTCTATGTGCATGAATTCTGTGTGTGGATGCCACACACATACTGTGTGGGGATGCCAGTATGTATGTATGCATATGAAGGCCAGAGAACAACATTAAGTCCTCAAGAATCATCCATTTTTTAGCATGTATGTGTATGTATGTGCACATGCGTGCATGAGTGTCTCTGCATTTGCTATGATGCACATTTTGAGGTCTTTTGACCTCAAATGTCAAAATGACAACTGCTTCGAACTGGTTCTTTCCCGCTGTTGATTCTGTTGAACTCAGGTCAGGCTTGGTGGCATGCTCCTTTACCTGCTGAGCCCCCTGCATGGTATTTGCACCGTGTGTATATAGGTCCTTGCAGAGGTCAGAAGAGGGCATCAGATCCCCCAGAACTGGAATTTCAGGTGGTTGTGAGTTGCCAGTGGTCCACTGCAAGAAAAGCTCTTAGCTACTGAACCATCTTTTCAGGTCCCCAGGTTCTTTGGTGGGTTGTTTGTTTTGAGACATGGTTTACTCCCTGCCCTGGAACTTGCCGAGTAGGTTAGGCTAGTTGGTTGGTAATAGAACAACAGAGAGCTGCTTGTTTCTGCCTCCTCAGCACTGAGATTACAAGCAAATGGATACATGTGCTGAGGGTCTAACTTGACAAGGCAAACATTTTACCAATTAAGCCATCTTCCCACCTACATGTTTTTTTGTTTTTGTTTTTGTTTCTTTTGTGGTTTTTTTTGTTGTTGTTTTGGTTTGGTTTTTCAAGACAGGGTTTTGCTATAGTTTTAGAGCCTGTCCTAGAAATAGCTCTTGAAGACCAGGCTGGCCTCGAACTCACAGAGATCCACCTGCCTCTGCCTCCCAAGTGCTGGGATTAAAGCCGTGCGCCACCACCGCCCGACTTTGTTGTTTTGTTTTTTTTGGGGGGGGGTTGTTTTGTTTTGTTTTTGGAGATAGGGTCCCATTTACCCCAGGCCCACCTGCTGTGACTTGGTGCTGGAAATTGAAGCCAGGGCTTCCATTTGCTAGGCAACTATCTCTACCAACTAAGCTACATCCCCAGTTACGTGCATTGCTTCTTATGTGTTGTTTATTTTGTTTTGAGACGACATTGCCTCACTGTGTAGCCCTAACTGGTCTGGAACTCGCTATGTAAACCAGACTGGCCTTGAACTCAGAAATTTGCCTGCCTTGGCCTCCAAATGTTGGGTTTAAGGTGTGCACTGCCGTTCCCTGCCATATATTTTATTTTATTGTTTGGGATTTGGTTGTTTGTTTTTGTGATTGTTTATTTTGTTTTTCAAGACAGGGTTTCTCGGGGCTAGAGATGGCTCAGTGGTTAAGAGCACTGCCTGCTCTTCCGAAGGTTCTGAGTTCAGTTCCCAGCAACTACATGGTGGCTCACAACCATCTGTAATGAGATCTACTGCTCTCTTCTGGCCTGCAGGCAGACAGGATACTGTATACATAATAAATAAATAAATCTTTTTTAAAAAGACAGGGTTTCTCTGTGTAACAGTGCTGGCTATCCTGGAACTCTCTTTGTAGACCAGGCTGGCCTCAAACTCACAGACAGGAGTCTGCCCCTGCCTCCTGAGTGTGGGATTAAAGGTGTGTGCCACCATGCCTGCTACATTGTGCTTTAGTAAGCAAAAATTATAAATTTATAAATGGCCACTTAGTAACTTGAGAAGAAGAGCACAGTCAGCCCTGTGCACCTCAGGTTCCACACATCCATGCATCAGAAGTAGGACTGCAGATACTGGGGAGGGCTGTGGATAATAGCGCTTGTCGCTAAGTGACACCCTAAATGCAATCCCAAGTCCCACGTGGTAGAAAGGAAAGTTGTCCTCTCACCTCCACATTTGCGTGGTGTCACCTGTATGCCCATGCATACAAAGAATTAGATAATTACAGAAGCTATTGGGGAGGGCTGGGAAGACTGTTCAGTGGGCAAAGGAGCTTGCTCAGCATGGAGGGAGGACAAAACTGACTGCTGCAAGCTGTCCTCTGACCTCCACATGTACACCACAGAAAGAGTTTACACACACACTAAATAAAAATTTAGTTTAAAAAGAAAAAGATGGGGGGGGGCTGGAGAGATGGCTCAGAGGTTAAGAGCATTGCCTGTTCTTCCAAAGGTCCTGAGTTCAATTCCCAGCAACCACAGGGTAGCTCACAACCATATGAAATGAGATCTGATGCCCTCTTCTGGCCTGCAGACATACACACAGACAAGAATGTTGTATACATAATAAATAAATAAATAAGGTAGGCAGTGGTGGCGCACGCCTTTAATTCCAGCACTTGAGCAGCAGAGGCAAACAGATCTCTTGCGTTCAAGGCCAGCCTGGTCTACAGAGTGAGTTCCAGGAACAATCAGGGCTACACAGAGAAATGTGTCTAAAAAGAAAGAAAAAAAAACTTTTAAAAAGTATTTTTGTGGAGCTGGGGAGATGGCTCAGTGGTTAAGAGCACTGGCTGCTCTTTCAGAGGATCCTGGTTCAATTCCCAGCAACCACACGGCTGCTCACAACTGTCTGTAACTCCAGTTCCAGGGGATCTCATATAGATACACAAGCAAGCAAAACGCCAATGCACACGAAATAAAAATAAATTAAAAAAATATTTTGTATGCATGTGCACATCTGTGTGTCTGTGTGTGTGTGTGTGTGAGCCCTCAGAAGCCAGAGGGAGATGTTGGCTCCCCTGGAGCTGGAATTAAAAGAATTTGTAAGGGGGAAGATGTAGGGGAGAGTGGGAAGAGGGAAGGGAGGGGGAGCTATGATCGGTACGTAAAATGATTTCAAAAACTTTAAAATAAAAAGTTATAGGCTACCTGCTTCACATGGGTGCCGGGAACTGAACTTGGGCCCTTTACAAAAGCAACAAATGCTCTTAACCACTGAGCCAACTCTTCAGGCACAATCCTCACCAAAAGAAAAAAACTTAAGAAAATATTGCCGGGGAAGTGGGTGGTGCATGCTTTTAATACCTGCACTCTGGAAGCATAGGCAGGCAGATCTCTGAGTTTGAGGACAGCCTGGTCTACAAAGTGAGTTCTAGGACAGCCAGGGCTACACAGAGAGACCCTGTCTCAAAATAAACAAAACCA